TCAGAAGGATTCAACTGTCTTCGAAGGAGGATTTCATCATCGAATAAAATTCAGATCTCGCTCTATCCGACTACTATACTTGTTCCTGTTGTTGAAAAATTCTCTCTGTGATAAACAATTCGTGAGTGAAATAAATAAAGTTCTTTTGTCCATTTGGTGGGATTGGAAAGATGTAGTTTATTATGAGCTCCTTTCTCAAGATATTGAAATTCATCAATTCCATAAAATATTGCGATCTTGATGAATTGAGAGCCGCCATTGCGGAAAAACGGCCAGAATTGGCGAACTGAGACAATGCAAAACCGCACGTTGCATTGACTGTAAGAGAAAAGCTGTTACAGTTTACAGATTGGGACTGAATTTGATGACTTGTTCCTGTCGTTAAAAAATTCTCTCCATGATAAATGGTTCCATGAGCGAAATAAAAATGCACCTCGAGGAATATTTTGCGAGTAAGCCAATAATTTTGGAAAAAGGGAATAAGGCTTCCTGAGAAAAGTAGAAATATCGTGTATTCATTTCATATGAGGAAAAAAAAAAGAAAAAAACTTATAAACCACCCTAATAATTCTTTCTCCCTTTTCGTTTTCCAAATTCAAAATTTTATTACGTAAATCAGGTACAGGATTACGTCTCAAAATATCATTCTCTATAACCTTTCCTCATTTGATGGATAAATTATAAATTCCAACCCCGAAGAACGACAATGCAAAATGTAGCATCGAGGAATATTTTGGAAAGAATTCAAAAATTCGAAAGTTCCTTCAAAAATTTTGGAAAGAAAGAACAATGAGATTTCTCGAGAAATGTAAGAATATGAATATGAACAAAAATATGTATTCATTTCGTATGGGAAAAAGACACTTAATAATTTTTTTTTCCCTTATAATCCTAATAAATCAGAGATCCAAGATTTCAAAATATTATTCTCTATAATCTTTTCCCATTTTGTGGGTAAATTATAAATTCGAAAAATGACAATGCAAAACGTAGCATCGAGGAATATTTTGCCTCCAAAAATTTTGGAAAGAGGAAACAATGAGGCGTCTCGAGAGTTGTAAAAATATGATAGAGCAAAAGTATCGTGTATTTCATATATAAAAAAAAAAAAAAAAAAAAAAAAAAAAAAAAGAAAGAAAGAAACTTATAAAACACCCTAATAATTCTTTCTCCCTTTTCGTTTTCCAAATTCAAGATTTTATTATGTGAATCGAGTACAAGATTACGTCTCAAAATATCATACTCTATAACTTTTCCTCATTTCATGGGTAAATTATAAATTCCAACCCTAAAGAACAACAGTGCAAAATGTTGCATCGAGGAATATCAAAAATTTCAAAAATTCAAAAATTTTGGAAAGAGGGAACAATGAGGCTTCTCGAGAAATGTAAAAATATGAATATAAGCAAAAATATCGTGTATTCATTTCGTATGGAAAAAAGACACCTAATAATTATTTTTCCCTTATAAGACATCTTAATAAATCAGGTCCAAGATTATTGTTTCAAAATATTATTCCTCATAATCTTTTCCCATTTTGTGGGTAAATTATAAATTCGAAAAACGACAATGCAAAACGTAGCATCGAGGAATATTTTGCCTTCAAAAATTTTGGAAAGAGGAAACAATGAGGCTCCTCGAGAGTTGTAAAAATATGATAGAGCAAAAGTATCGTGTATTTCATATATATAAAAAAAAAAAAAAAAAAAAAAAAGAAAGAAAGAAACTTATAAAACACCCTAATAATTTTTTCTCTCTTTTCGTTTTTCAAATTCAAGATTTTATTATTTAAAAAAAAATATGATAGAGCAGAAATATCGTATTTCATGTATTTCATATGGAAAAAAAAAAAAAAAAAGAAAGAAACTTAATAAAATACCCTAATAATTCTTTCTCCCCTTTCGTTTTCCAAATTCAAGATTTTATTATTTAAAAAAAAATATAATAGAGCAGAAATATCGTATTTCGTATGGAAAAAAAAAAAAAAAAGAAAGAAACTTAATAAAATACCCTAATCATTCTTTCTCCCCTTTCGTTTTCCAAATTCAAGATTTTATTATTTAAAAAAAAATATAATAAAGCAGAAATATCGTTTTTCGTATGGAAAAAAAAAAAAAAAAGAAAGAAACTTAATAAAATACCCTAATCATTCTTTCTCCCCTTTCGTTTTCCAAATTCAAGATTTTATTATTTAAAAAAAAATATAATAAAGCAGAAATATCGTTTTTCGTATGGAAAAAAAAAAAAAAAAGAAAGGAACTTATGGGACACACCCTGATACATATATAATCGCGTTTACCTTCGAGCTCGTTCTTCAACCTGTCCAACTCGCCGGATAGATTTTCGAAATTGATGGTGGAAGCCGCCTCCATGTCGGCGGGTTCTGGAATCGGAAGCGGTAACGGCTCGTCGAAATTGTGATCCCTCTCCTGTGCCAACCTCGCCCTAACTATATAGTGGAGCAACGTGACGCCCGCCACGTTCGACTTCACGTCCTTCAATCTGCCTAGAATCTCGAGGCCGAAACCGTCCGCCTGCCCCCGCGTCCTGTTCCCCCCGTTCATGTAATTGCCGAACGTGAGGATCAACGCCATCACCCTCTTCAGGGAGCTCGAGTTCCGCAAGAAGTCGCAGGTGCTACGAAGATTCGTCAGCTTCGACGAGACGTTCGAGATAGCGTCCTGGAACTCGGCCTGGAACATCAAACACGCTATCCTCTCCGTGAAATGATTGATATCGGCAAGTCTCTTGAGGAAAATCTCCGGTTGGTCGAGGGGGACGTCGGGATTCGCGGCCTCGAAAGCTTTTATATCCTCCAATTCTTTCTTCGTTGGCCTCTGCATGCAAAAAAAAGGTGGAAGGTGGTGATTAATCGTCGTGGACACGTGGGTGGTAAAATTTTTGCGCTCCAACGGCCACCACTTCGAATTCGAACGGGGACAATATTTGTTCACGCTTGATTGTTTTGGAATATCGGTTCGTAAATGGGTTTCCTAAGCTCTTAGCGTATAATCTTATGGGGTCTTATCTCGAAGATCAGCGATGGAAATATTATTTTCAAAGTTCTTGAGATTTGTAAGCATGGAATACGGTAATGAAATTAGTTGAAGTGAAGACGAGTTTGATTTTTCGTTATCGAAATTAATTCTACTTGGAAAGAGATTAATAATAGAGAAAGCAACGATGAAGATGCAATAAGAGGTATAAGAAGACGAAAAGTAAGAATAATAATAGATAGTGTGAAAACAATCAAGTGAAGATATCGCGGAAGATAAGGAAAATTTCGATATAAATATACCACGAAGAATGCAATTTGTAGCGAAAAATCTGCAGGACCGCAATTTCGAATATGAATGAATCATTACATTTTTTTAAACTATTTTTCATTGATGAATTTATTAATAAAATAACGCGCGAATCAAATAATTATGCAATAAAAAATTAGAAAGGAAAAATACTATTGCCTTACTATTGCCCTGACAAACTTGAGGATCTTAATAATATCGTAAAATATCACAACAATATAGACTTTCTTAATATATAAAGATACATAAGATATCGAAATATAAAAATTTTATGCGTTAATTCGTGCGTGAAATCGTTTTAAATTAGCTGTAAGAAAACATCGAATATTCAAGGGTCCGCGAAACGCGTGGAGCGCAGAGTTAATATCGATACCTACGATCTCGTATATCTGTTGCAACGCCTCCAAATTGATCACGCTCGTGTCCAAATTGTAAACGGCGTTCTCGACCTCGCAGAAATCTACGCGCAAACTCTTCTCCAATATACCGACCGTCTTGGACCGTTTCGAGTCGAGGATCTTGGCAGGCTGCACTTTAGACGGCCTCGTGGCCTCGTCCGTTCTTTTCACGGGCTTTCTTGACGCGGTTACCTGACGCGAGAAAAGGCCGGCGAACTCTTTCATGTCCAAGTTTTTCTCTTCCTCTAGCTCCGCCCACAGCGGGATCTGCGAAACGACGACGAACGGTCGATAAATAAATACTCCGCTTTCCCCCCTCCTCGTAAAGCGACGACAAAAAAAGGAAATATTACGTGCACGTGCGAATCCGTAGCATCGGTGGAGCCACCACGCTCTGTCGGTACTACAGGCACCAATATCCTCGTCCAGTAAAGCGGTTTCATAGGGACCTCGGGGCAGAGTGGCTCCTTCCTCATACCTAAACGGAACGAAGAAGAAGAAGAAAAAGGAGAAGAGAATGAGGTTGTTTCGACGACAAACGG